TAATTAATTCCTTTAAATTAATATTTTCACACATATGTGATAGTTCTGCTGTTAGGCTGGCACTTTCATTATCTAAAGTCATAGAGACCCACTTCTACCTCCCCTTTTGACATCTCCACTTTGATTCAGTTCTGCAAGATGTTCCTGAAAACTCTGGATATGGATCTATAAAACACTTCAGAAAATGATTAGTTTAAGAGAACACAGTAAAGCCTGTGGATCTGTTTATATGTACTTTAAGAAAGTTGCAGCTAGGATTTTGGTCAGTGTATTCTGAATGGTCAAGCTTGCCACTGTTAGAATCCCCTGAGGAAAGAATTATTAAATCTCAGTTTACAGGTGTTAGCATTATACTATAAGTCTTCTCCATTTCTAAGAAATTCCCAAAATTTTGAAGTCCTCAGGAATACTAAAAAAAAAATAAATCAATGGTCCAGACTTCTTGTGGGCTTTTTTTCCTGCAGAAAAATGCCAGTGGAAGAGAAGATATGAATGTAAAGCTATTTGAGTCTCTTAATGCCTTGTCCACCCCCACTGCTGCTATTCATTCTATATGATCCCTTTCCATCCAAATGAATTACAATAATTTGGGGTGTTATAATAAACAGATAGTCATCATAATAATACATTTCAGTTAGGAAGAAGTACTTGGAAGAAATTGGTTTTGCAATACACATGATGTGAGACAATCAATAGTGCTTTAGTCTGACAAGCACTGTCAATATCCATTGTCACAGTTCAGAAAGTCATTAATGGATAGTTCTTCAAAAACCAATGCTTTCATCATGTTAGAAGTGCTCAGATATACTGTACCTGGCAGGAATTAATCATAGGTAAACGCCTGGGATTATGTATAAATGTTTTGTAAATTAAGAGTGAAATAAAAATCGTTGGAAGGAACTTGAGATCATGTTATATGGAGTTACAAAATTTTGCCAATAAAATATGGAGCTGTTTAGAACATATTAAAACATTTTACTTTTTGAATCGTTCAGGTTCTGCCCAGAACATCACACACAGGACTAAATTCACAGAATGTAATCACATAAAAATTTTGATTCTTGCCCTGAAAAGGTTAGACACTTGCATGGTTCTTTTAGTTGTGGCCATGCCAAAACCCTGGAGAAAGGCTTTTGTAACTTCACCTTGCAAATATGTTAGCCACTGCTTAATTCCACTTGACTTACATGTGTACTCTCATTGCATTTTATGTACAATTTAGTGCATTAAATTATAGCAAGTAATTCTTTATCAGTACATCTTAAAACTTCCATTGACTCTGACTGTATTAATTCTGCAGAACTGTGTGATTTGGAGGTATTGCCTTAATTCTTTCCTTCCACCTGCCTTCTTGTATAAAAACTCCTGTACAGATTTTATTTCATGGTTTTGCATGATATTCACGTTACATATATGTTATTAGGAATATTAAGACTAGTGTTGTTGCATTGAATAAGTGTTCAGAGGATTTATATGGGCCCAAAAAATAAAGGTCAGTTTTTTCTCGGTGCATCTTTTTTTCCATGGAATTTAGCCTATAATTATCCTTCTTAATTTAGCTGATGTTATTACATTGCTACTCAACATTAAGAACCGAAGATGTGTTCTGTCTTTTATACCTAATGATGTGTTTATACTGTTTTCTTTTTGCATTTGATCTGTGTTACGCTTCCCTAATGTGACAAGCTGTTGTGATTTAATATATCTAAACTCTAGAGCAAATTGGGTGAGGAATAGATCTTGGCATTTATTTTTTTTTCCATTTCCCACCTTTAGATTAGAGACCTCATAAAGTGCCCAGTCATCAGAAATGTTTTTCTAGATATGACTATATTTCCAGCCAAAGAGGAAAGTCAGTCAGTATTCAGGTTACTTTTTTGCCACTGGATTGAATTGTCCTGGCACCCACTTGAACTAGCAGAAAATACTATAATATTGAACTCTGTTGGGTTCCCCACTACATGTAATGTAAAAGGTCTTGACCCAGAAAAAGCAAGCATGTGTTTTCTTTTTTTCACTCAGAAACTCTTAATGAAATATAAAAAATACTTAATTGAAGAGTCTGTGCAAAGGGAGGGGAATTAACCTTCTGTGTTTGTTTTGAAGCATTTATGTAGATACATCAGTGTGAGTAGCTTCAGAAATTTAGGATATGAGTTTTTTCAGCACAATGAATCAAATAGTAAATCTATGCAATTTATGCCAGGGAACATACAGTAGAACTAACAGTTGAATTTGTTTCCTATTATTTTATACTTAGGTTCCTAAGAGTCCTATTTTACTTCTGTTTGGAAATGTTGTCCACTTTGCCACATTGTTTGATGTTTGCCAGCCTTCTTTCATGGAGGATTTTTCTGACCAAATGTAGAACTGGAAATTTAAAAAGGAAGGTACTCAAAAAAGGATTTATTGAGGTTTTTGAGTTTTAGAACTTTTTTTTTTTCTTTTGGAAGTAACACTTGGTCCTCCTTATATTTCCAAATACAATAGCAGAGTCATTTTAATGTGGGGATATCGCGAGAAGGAGGGTTTGGCAAGAGGAGGAGTATTTCTAAATGAGATCCCAACAGAAATATTTCTGGCTGAGCTTGGTTTTGGAACATGCTATCTAAACCCTTGAATTTCTGAGAGGCTTAGAGTTTCCCTCTGGTGACTCACTCATGTTTAATAGCATAAAATAAGAAATTAGTCAACATTAGCTTTGCTGCTGTGCTATACAATTCAATATAGAACACAAAAAATCGTCCATGACAACAATTATTCCTACCTCTAGATGTAGTTTTAACATCATAGCTGCTGTTCCAGCTATAAAAATTGCAGCTATGTTAGAGCCTCTTTCTATATAGAATGATCTTTACCCTGCTGTGAAGTCACAGATCCCCTATCCCACTATCCACAGTGATCACATTCACTTAAATTAGGATAATCAGAACTAAGCATGTAGCTCAAGTGGGCATAAAACACTTCAGAGCCCCAAAGAATAGAAAACGTGGCATCTCAAGTGACTTAAGAGATGTTACTGCTGCATCATTTGCACTGGGGAAGCTTCACTGTAATTCAAGAGAAAGCAACCCTAAGTATGAATCGCTATGGGCAAAATGACCCTAAGCAACAAGAGAGTCCCCAAACTAAATGCAATTCACTTCACTGTTTCAAAGTACCATTAAGATGCAGAATTAGAAACATCCATTTTTTGTTCTTTTTATAGCACAGCCAAGTGACTTGGAATTTTAGCTCTTCCTTGCCAAGGATTGCTCAATTTCGAACAAAAAGTCCTCCACTACAATGTTAAAAAAACACCAACCATCAATTGAATGTTAATCTTTATATTCTATGATACATTACTCCAAGAATGCTACCATTAAAAATGTGAATTCTATTTTTCATAAGTGATGGATTATTGTACCAAGCTGTGTATTTTCCAGTAAAGTGTCCTTTTATTTGTCCTGTGTGATTACTAGTTTGTGGAAGTATGTGTGGGGTCATTTTAGTGCTGTGGGAAAATGGAGCACTCTTCTGTTAAAATCAGTAGTGAAATCAGAAGCAAACTATGCTCTGATCATTGTAGGCATGTGTTTAAATACTGCTTTCCTTAATTGGCTATGTTCTATTTACTTAAAATGAACAATTTGGCAAGTTTTTCTCCCTTGACAACAGCAAAGCGTAAACCATTTTATAAGTTTGGCTGTTAAAATCAGATTTGTAATGTAAACCACAATATCCCAGGGTTGTCACTGTTGCTTAACCAGTTATTTTAGCTTGCCATTGTTTTAGAATTGTACACCTTTAAAGATTCTGGTTTTGTTCATGACTTATGCAAAACTACTTGCTGCAAAATAATATGATAATATTGTTCATAATTTTATTTTTGCTCTCTCACTTCCCTTGGATCCTCTCTATGATGATCACTGCATCACTGGGAAGATTCAGTCTGGATGGAGAGTTTAGGGAGTGCCTTTGTAACCACAGCTAAATTATCCAGGGTAGTACTGAGGAATTCTGCTGAAGGGACAGTGGACTGATTACTGCAAGTTACACTTTTGTGGAAAACTGAGTTTTGGTGTATTGATTGAGTTTCAAGATGGAAAGCTAATTTTTTCCTCAGAAAGCGGAAACCACCCCTCTCTCAGGTGGAGGTCCTTGCTAGGTGATTTTTTAGAAAGAATTTGTTTTAAGATTTGTTTTAAGAATCTACTTGTTTGGGGAACCTCTGAAAAAGGTCTGCCCGTGGCATCACTGCTGTTTCTGGAGCATGCTGAGTTTCTCCTTCCTGTTAATGCTGCCTATTTTGATAGCTATGATGGTGCCCTGTAAGCACCTCAGCAGAGAAGAAGTTAAATTTATGCCTTTGAAACTTCCTCCAGGGAATTTTCTGCAGCTGGGTTCTATGTCTTTTTGACACAGAGCAGGAATAAATTGAGCTCAAAATGCTTCTCAGCTTAATAAATGCCTAAATATAATAAAATATAATCATTAGGACAGGAATACTTTTCTTTCCATAAATTAATGCATCTTGCACACATTTCATGGCATATAGCCATGTTTTCTATAACTACATTAAATATATATATAACGCTTAATCCATCTTGGCAAGAGAATTCGGTCCTTCACTAGTGGTGTAACCACCCATCCTTTCTCATAACAAGTCGTGTATAGCTAATAGTGCGTAGCATGCTTTGAGTCCAGAGTTTTTGTTGAAAAATCGCCCGTGTGAAACTTGTGGGATCCGTGCACATTTCATGAGCAAACTGCGTCGCCATCCAAATACTTACAGGCAATAAATAATCCAACTCTGTGAATAACCAGCAGAGTGAACTCATCATGTTTATTCACAAAATTATTAATCAGATGTTTTGTACTATCCAACCAACTACACTGCTGACCCACCCCATGATTTTACTAGGGTGGCTATGGCCATTATTTTCTGAGGATATTTGAGAAAACCACTATTGGTTTAAAAATACCATTTCACTGAAGCTTTTCCTTTTGATTTTCTTTAGTTTTCAGGCTGAACTACAGTGCCTCTGACACAAACGACAGAAGCCGAGTTAAAAGCAGATTAAAGAAGTTCATCTCCCGACGACCATCCTTGAAAACATTGCAAGAAAAAGGACTTATTAAAGGTGTGTTTGGTCTTACATACTTTTTTGTATTAAAAAGTAAAAATTCACAAATTTCTGGTTGTCAGTTAAAAGAGTAAGTGCATTGGAGGAACAATACTTAGACGTACTTTGTTGTCTCGTAAAATGTAGTCTGCTGAAATGCAAAGAAAAAAATCAAATTATGGTTACATCTGTCTCTGTGCTGACTACTGCTTCAAATTTCCTGCTGTGGTGTGCATGTGGTAGAAGCCCCCCCACTTAACACAGGCACTCACCATGCACACTGCAAATCAACGTGCTGCACAGCTCCAATTCTTTTTAAGGAAAGAATGTAGATATAGTTTTATATTTTAGAATCCAAAACAGGAACTTCAGATATTGTGCTGACTAATTTATTTTCTAGGGTAGGTTGGAATACTTTCTGCTGTTTTCTCTCATTATTTTTCTAACTCGCCGACAAAATACATTTTTAACAATTTAAGCTACGTGCCAGTGAATAATAAATGTTGTGAATCCGTGATTTCTTCCCACTCCAGCTTCTTAGTTAGCTGGTCAGCCATCACTTTCACATCTCCTTAAAAAATTGTTTCTTTGATAAAACGTGTTTGTTAGTTTAGCCAAGAAGTAAGCGTTTTTCAAAGAAGTTAGTAGTTGAAGGCAGTAGCGTTCTGACCACTAATAATCACACAAAGCGATGTTTTCAAATATTGTCTGGAACAACACTTTAAAAATTTACACACTCCCAAATTATTATGTGTGAAACCCAAAACCGCACATGCAAATTGACTAGAAAGAGGCATTTTGCCAGCAGCCCCTGTCAGTCTCTGGATTGTGAGTTTTCCAGCGGTGTGTCAAAAATGGCAAGGGGTGTTGCTGGTGTGTATTCAACTTGTCTGTCCTGAGCCAAGGGACTGACCCCAGCCAGCAAAAGCTAAAGCAGCCACAAGAGTTAAACAGCAGCTGGGCCCATGTCTGAAGGGAAGGACTAGATTTTATGAATTAAGTTATGTTTTAGACACAAGCAGAAAAGGTCAGCACGATGTTGCTTATTCTAAGGAAGTCTTCAGTATACAAAAACATTATGTGCCTCAGTGACGGGCTCCTGCTTCTTACTGCTGCAGAAACTTTTTAAAAAATGTCATTTACACATACATAGGTGTGTGTGAGGTGCACACACTCACACACCAGTCTTTCGGGATTTGTCCTTACATGTTTATAGTATCTGATTTCAGTATATTGGGAGAGTTTTGCCTCTTTGAAGTATTCTGTGGGTTGAAGGTGGGATTTGAAGACATCATGTTAGTTTTTTTCAGCTATTATAGTAACAGAGGAGTAATTTATAGTCTTTTAATTTCTGGATTTAAGGGTTAGGTTTATTTTTTTAGTTTAATAAAGTGTGATTGATGAATCTCCTACGGTGTTACATAGGGATCAGATGTGATCCCTGCTAACAAATCCAGATTCATTAGCATAACTCAAATTCATCCTCTAATATATCTCTTTAGGAAAGCCAGATGTGTTTGGGTTTGGCTACAGTGTCATTAAGCACTTGATCCATAAACAGAGCTTGGTTCTACCTGGGATACTCTTCCATGGATAAGAGAAAGATGCATGATTTGTGGCACAGTAATTCAGAATTGGTACCCAGCACAATTTTATAACCAAACTAACGTTACTATGAAGAAAACATGTTAGTTATCTACCATGAAGTTTCATTAGGATTAGGTTTTGGCCATGCAAATGAGGCAGGATTCGTTAGCACGGCTTAATTCCAATCTACGGTAAGTCTATGTGAAATGCTCATTTGATAAGGTTCCTTCATTGTCTTCACCAGAGTTTATCCCTTAATCTCTTAAAATGTTATGAAACTGCAGTTGCAGTGCTTATACAGAGACCACTTTTAAATGTTAATTTTTAGGCTCACATTAAAATATTTTTAAATCACAGAATGCAACCATCCAGATTAAAAATTGAAAGCTTGCCAAATTTTGTATTACAAGATACATCTATTTATTTTTCGGAAGGTGACTGGAATGGTCGCAGAAACCTCTCAAAACTTTATTTGCTCGTTTCTTAAGGGAAAAAATGTTAACCAATTTTTACAAGAAAAAATTCCTCCAGCTCTGAGAACATGCATGCTAACTTTTATCCCATGGGGAAATACTTCTGTCAGAATTGTAAATCCCTTAAAATAGGGGCTCATAATAAAAGTATGTCTAAAGCCTTGCAGGACATCTCAGTACCGAATTTCTGACAAAGAGCTGTTCTGTGTGCTAGTGAAGAATTGATATAAATATCTGCAAAGCGTGTGGTGTTAATTACTCCAATGCAGTGGCACTGTAGGTGCTGTGAAAACCTTCACTTTTCATCAAGTGCTATTCATATTTGCCAGGGGCACTATAAAGCTCTCAAATCTATATTGATTTTTTACATTGTATGTCACACTGGAACCAAAACTCCAATAAATTTAACACGTAAATTATAGTAATGAGTAAATACATTTTAAGGTGGTAAGTTCACTTAAACACAGTTCTGTGCTCTGTTAGTCACTGATGTGTACACACTTGGCCAGAAGACTCAACACATTTCTCTGCATTAACCAAATTTGGGAATACAGGCTTCAAAATTAAATAGCGGTTTGATCTCCTGGGGTACTTTGTTCTGCCAACAGCGTTATCAGAAAAATCTAGAAATTATGTGACTGTCATTTAACTCTTAACAAAACTTCGTTTATGTAGGATGTAGCAAACATCCACATGGTAAATAAAGTAGGTAGTTAACAAATGAGAAGAAAAAGAAGTAGGAGGACAATAGCGAAGGGAATGTAGCAGACTAATGTATAAGTTTTAGTTGCATGTTGATCTGACAATGAAGAAGCGCCGATGCTTTAAGTGACAAAAAGTCATTTTTGCCATTGTTGTCATTAGTCCTTTGTATAAAAGAATCAAGGATGGGAAGAGCACACTGGCTCCATTCACTGTGATGGGCTGGTGACTGGGGCTCTTACTCCAGGAAGAGCTCTCATAAAGATCATCAGTCCTTCTCATTCCATCTCACTCATTCTTACCAAAATATCTTTCATCTAGGCGCATTTTGAATCATTTTTGAGATGATGTAGAGCACAGCATTTTTAGGTATGTGTCTATATGCACAGTTTTGCTCATAGATATCCACACATGCAGGCAAACCTAGAAATAGTAAATAAGAGGCATGTTCCATGTCTGCCTTTTTAACAGTGTTATTTTGAGAATAACTGTGTTGAAATTTATATGCTAGGGCAGGGGTCCTCTGTTCCTCGTGACTGAATTATTCTCAGAATTTACAGAATCTGCACTAATATGCTAGAAAAATAATATATAAATCTTCTCTTTTAAAGCTACTTTATAGCCTATAATTGAACTTTGATCTTTATGTTTGAGCTTTGCTATGATTTAATATTACCCAAAATGAATTGCCAACCTTCAACTTCATATTGGTCTGCTAACTTCCTGGTTTCCTAGCCTTTCTAGTCCACAAAAAAAAAAAACGAAACAAAAAAAAAACCCCTTCTGTGAAACAGTGATTATAAAGCTGTGGTGGTTGTGTTGGTAATAGACTACCACAAAATAAACTTTCAGTAAATGGCAAAAAAGCATGAGTAACAACATAAACGACACTGTGGGAAATGAGGAAAACGCAGCTATGCTGCTAGTAAGTTTTTTTTGGGGTGGATTATTTTTTCATCCCAAAAGCTAGACACTGAAGGAACTTCATTGAATTTGTTTCATAAGTTAAGGCAAAATCCAAAACAGCATAAAAGTTGGAATGGTTACAACTGTTTCAAGATGAAAATAAAAACCACTCAATTGCTAGTGAAAGGAACTAGCTGTGATCTGGCTTGATAGCCTATAGAACAGGGCTCAGCATATGTTGGCGGTTGTGCAGATAGCACCACAGAGGTCACCAACCATTTCATTTCCAGACAAGGGAAAACGTCTTTATTGTCTCATATGGCTCAATGGACCTTGGAATAGTTCAATGTATTGAGTGTAATGCTCATAAGAAATCCAAAAAAGTAGATTAAGACCTACCTCTGGTGAGTTATGTAATTTTTCTAGGTTATGCAGGAATTTAACAAGTGATCTGGTGCCCATGATAATTTGGGGGAAGTGAGGAAGCGTCTCCCTTGATTTGTAGGGACAGCGGGTCACGAGATTCTGTCTTTCTTTCCTTCTTTGACCACTACACAGATATCGAGAAGTATGTTTCCCAAACCCTGTGGGTGGCCAAACACTGGACAAAGCGATTTTTTCCTTTGACACAATGGTCAGAAATAATTGAGATAATTTAAAAATATCTCCTTTTTTTGAAGGCCTGTTTTGAGGAGTACAGCAGATACACTCTCTTCAAATTCAAATGAGCTCTTGTCCCCAGTAAAACACCATCATTTCTTGAAAGAGACCATTGTCTGCAGTACTATTTTCCTTTCTTTTCTGAGAATGTGAAACAAATCTGGTAGTTCATATGCTACTTAATAGTAACTGTTCAAAAACGTGGGTTTTTTTTCTGAAATTGATGACCACCACAGATCAACGATATATAGTAAATCTCCAAGTTAAAAGGACTGGCGAGATTCCCGGCTAGCATAAATCAGGGGAGCTCCACTGACAACTGCGCTGACTTCAGTCAGCTGAGGACCTGGCCCACTTATTCTAAAAGCATCGTGGCATTATTTGGAGCTCCAGTCTGGGATCAGCATCATTTTAATGTCTGACTTAATATGTCTGACTCTACAGATTGAGGAGCTTAAAGTCACCTTTCAGTATATGTCCCTCTCCAACCACATCCCTTCTCCCTCCAGAAACATCACTGTTGTGGTGTCTCCTCTTCTGTCCCTCTCTCTGCACATTCTTCTTTTGTTTGTCTTTTTGTTCTTTTTCCCACTTTTCCCTCCCAACATTCAAATACATTCAAAGAAAACAAACAATGTTAGATGTTGATACAAAGCTCTGGTCTTCCAGCAATTCAAATCCAGATGTAGCAGAGTTAACTCTGCTCCTGGAATACACTGAATTACACAGATATAATTCCTGTTTCTAAAAACTTGGGCATTAAACTGTCATACCTTTTCCTCTTGTTTCAGAATTTGAGCTTCTTCAAAAAAAAATGAGAATATTAGCCACGCCCTTCTCTGATTTTTTAATAAAAAACACTGAAGAATGAGTTTCTTCCAAGTATGGCCACATCTCATCCATGTACACCAAAACCAGTTAAACAATGACATTCCCAGTGAGGATGTGGCTTCAGTGATTTTGTTTTAATTGTTGCTTTTCCAGAAGTATTGTCTCCCATAGACCAGATTTCTGCAGCTCAGAATTAGTGGCTTTTCTGCAGCCTGCAAGAGCTACTCAAAAAAAAAAAAAAGTAGCTCTGTGAGGATCAGGAAAAACTTGAAGCTCACCAGAACGAGCAATTCATTGCAGCTGTAATCATCATTTTATATTATACAACTTGTGAATGTCCATCCCTTCCTCTACTGGTGTCTCATTTTATATCCATGTGCAAAGCTGTCACATGCCCCACCATCTTAAATGGAAAGTTTAATGCGCAGATAGCGGGGATGTGTAATGTAAACCATACCCCCAAACATATTATGAATATATTGCTCTTCTTAAAAAATGCTTGTTGGTTTTTCATACTACAGTATTGACTAACTGTCTGTGTTTGATGTATGGTTTACTAGCCTGATGTAGACTTATGGTTAGAGCTTAACTTGTTAGTTCTGCTTTTGCAGCCAATTCAGAATAACTACAGATGCCCCGAGATATTAAAATTGACTGCTCAAATGGACTCAGTGTGGGAGTTTCATTGGTTTTAAATTGATAACAGCTGAAAGAGTGAATGATTAAAGCTGTATATGGGCATAGTATGCAGCTCCTTTGTACAAGCTCTTGTGAACAGAACCCACTGTATGGGAATTGCCTTTGTTCTAATAAAAGATATTTCTGAACAATTGTTAGTTTAAATTTTTAAATGATGAAACAAGAGCATTTTGGGAGCCTATAGAGGAAATAATTCCTGAGAAACTGGAATAACTCTGAGAAGATAAAGTGGATTTCTATTCAGAGGGGAGCATTTAAAGTTAAGTAGCATTCCATAAGGTGGTAATTGTGTCTATTTCCCAGGCATTTGAGTTAAATAAGCTGGATAGGAAACATAAACTGTCATAACAGGAGGTTAGGAGTGTTGCGTACTTTTTTTTCTTTCAAGTCATTAAAAATGAAGTTTTGAAGGGCCTTATCACAAATAAATCAAACAAAGGCATTTTTGCTTCTTTAATCCCTTTGGGAGCAGTTCTTAGTTTTTGAAAAACAAAAATGTCCTGAATAGTTTGCCCTTGAACTAGTTTTAAAATATATGTACAAACTTATAAAAGAATAAGAAAATATTTTAATGATAGTTACACATAAATCTAATTTACAAAAATTTAGTCATTTGCCATTCCTATAATTCCTTGTTTTCAAAATTGTCCAAAACCAAATCTTAATGGAGTTTCCCTCATCTCTCCCTGTGACCTGTAAGAGTGTAAATGTGGAAATGTAACTACTACCATTCCCATGTTTCTGTACAGAAACAGATCCATGAAAAAAAAATTAATTGACTAGGAAGAGTCACAGAGTTTGCAGTTCAGGAGTACCCAGAACTCAGGGTAGCTGGATGATCCATGAGATCATACACTTAGAAATAGGCATGAACTTCTAAAAGGTGAAAAAAATATAATATAAAGCAGTTGTGTGTCGTCATTTTACCATAGTCTTTTCTGAAGCCCAGTAATCACTAAGGCTGATTTGCTATCCCTTCCATTCAAGATAAAAATCCTGAGCATTTGTTTTCTAAATAAGAGGTGTCTTAAAGCTTAACTGCAGGGTACAGAATGTCCCTATATCCGCATACTGAAATGTATATAAAATGAGATTAAACATTCTGCAGAAGATACCCAGAAAAGAAGTAATAGACTAGGTGAGAATTGCAAAACAGTTACCAGCCTTTTCAAAATTTGCTCCCAAGAATCCCAGGTGTTCTGCATTCATACTGGGGATGGAAAGAGCAACTGCAAAATAATCCTGGAAGATGGTTAGAAAGTGGTTAGAATAGAGAAGCAAAGCTGCTGAACACCCATGAATTAGTTTTGTTTCTGTTCTTTATATATTGCCATCTAAACACAGTGCAGTTCTTTGCCTGTTTTACTTCTGAAATTGTTTACAAGTGTCTTTGTCCACCAAATAAAATACATTTTTTACTTCTTTTTAATGTAATTTACAGTTGAGACCATTCCATATTATGCAAAGAATTTGACAGGTCTTTGCTAAAATTTTAAAAAACAATTAAGATGTCAAAAGAGGATGTGCTAGTACATTTTAATCATAAATCTCTGTATATATAATTACCACTGAAGGCAGCTATAAATGTTTTATGAAGAGAATGTAACCAGACTGTGCTTTGTCAGAAACATAACCCCAAAACATGTAACAGACTGTTCGCTAATGCTTAACGCCACACATGCACACAACCTTCTTCAGTGCAGTTCTGTGAACCCGGTCCTCCATCCCTTCTGCAGCCGAAACTCCGACTAACTTAAATTCAGGCTTTGATGTACTCTACTAGAATGCAGATCACATGCATTGGAAGGTGCTGAAATAAACTTCCGTGATACATATCAAGAAGTCCAAACCATCCTATGCATCCCACCTTGTTTCCCTGGTTGTTCCCTGCTCGGAGGTATTAGGAAAGAAAAGGCAATCAAGTGGCTCTTGAAATCTAAACTTAGTGAGAAATAGTAGTGATTAACCGTAGGAAAGTGATGCTCCTTGCAAAGAAGAAAATAAACAATTATTTCCTTTTTTTTGCCTATTAGTGAGAAAGAGATGCGCTGCTTGTAGGAAGAAGCACTCAAACCGGTTATCATAGAATCACAGAATGTTTTGAGTTTGAAGAGACTTAAAGGTCATCTCATCCAACTCTTCTGCAGTGAGCAGGGACATCTTTTAACCAGATCAGGTTGCTCAGCGGCCCATCCAACCTGACCTTGAATGTTCCAGGGATGGGGCTTCTACCACTTCTCTGGGTGACTTGTTTTCAGTGTTTTCATAGTGAAGAATGATGGGACTGACTATGGAGAAAATATCCAGTGCCATGGGAGCCATAGAGGACAGCAGGAGCTCCTGCAAGTGAGCGTGTTTGTTGGGTTTGCTGTACAGAGCCCAGGCTTGTCCTAGGACCCTTCAGTTACCTGTGCAAAAATGTTCAAAGCCTCTAGGCCAATTTCCAAACTGTAGTACTCTGTTGAAATGCTATGGGGAGATTGTCTCTTTGGATAAATGATGATAGTACACTCCTATTGTTTGAACATTTAACTGGCTCTTATTGAGTTGTTTCTCTCATCTGTTTGATTCATTTTGATTCTAGATGACAACGATCCCATTACTGATTACTCTTTTCATAATTTCTCAAACACGTCGAGTGGCAATGGAGGAAGATAATTAGTAATCTGAAGAGTCTAACCTGCTTATACAAATACATTTTTAGGACCAACGTTCAAAGTTTATCAAAACTTTAAAACCATGAAAACTAGAAGGCAGCATTATATATTTAAAGGATTATTCATCAAAGAAACAATGCAAATCACAAGTTAAACTTGGTGTAAGATGCAGTCCTTACCAAAAGACATTTAGTATTTTTTAAACAGATAATTTGTTGATAAAAAAAGACCTTGTAAAAATGAGATGAAACAGTTCTAAGATTTAATGAAGCAAAATAAGAAAGCCCTTATACCCATACTATGCTTTATGACAAGAGTGAAACTCCTTAGGTGTGGAAGAGACGGGCTACCTAATAAGATGAGTTTCAAGGTTGGACCATCAGTTAATATCATGTAGGATTTTGGATTGGACAAGGTATGGATCTTTGTCTCCAGAATGACCTTCACTTTTTTATAGCAGGTCCCAGCAAACTCCAGAGGTCTCCATGCTTTAGAAAAGTCAAGATCAAGTTGTAAATGGCAGTTGAAACTTGAACCCAGGGGCAAGTATCCAGGTGCAGCAGATATTGAGAGATTTGCTTCAGTGAGAGAAGCTAATGACCACAAGGATAGCTGAGGTTTTAATTAATATGCAAGTTCAGAAAAGGAAAAAAATATCACTACTAAGAGTAAGCCCTAATGTATTTTCCTCTTTTGTTCCAAATGTAGATCAAATTTTTGGCTCCCATTTGCACTTGGTTTGTGAACACGAGAAATCTACAGTTCCCCAGTTTGTAAGACTGTGTATAAAAGCTGTTGAAAAAAGAGGTGAGTACCTTAATATTTAAAACTGTTTTTCTTCTCTATTAATAATGAAACCTTTAACCTTGTAACTCTACTTGAATTGCCAGGGTAGGCAGGCAGTTCAATTTATAATATAGTTATGAGCTGAACTATACCACATTCTGTATCTTCATTTTCTTTATATGATAAGACACTAACAGAACCCATTCATGCTGATTATTCCTTATATTTTGTGTGACATGTCATTGTTTTAGTCTTTCTCTGGGTAAGCAAAATGATAAGAATCAATAACATGTCAGTATCTTTCATTCCGAAGTCTCTGGTGAGCATAATGCCAATACTTTTTCCGAAGTCTTGAATTGTATGCAACCAAACTAAATGTTTGGGTTTTGGTGTTTTTTTCCCTAGTGTGACCATGTTTTTTTAATGCATGCAGGTGTCTAATTTTTACAGTTACTTTAGAAAGCTATAATTTTGTAAGAATATTGGAATGAGTATTCGTTCTCATTAAAAGTTTTGATTAATAGGAAGGATTTTCACAGTAGAAAAAAGATGTACTTAACACCATTGCCTGCTTTCCTTTCTGCAGAGTGTATCTTCTCTCATTGAAGGTCATTTTCTTTGGAAGGTACATGCGGTAGATGCAGAATCTTAAAATGTATTGTATAAAAATGTGAGGCTTCATCACCATCTGTTACAAGTTTACAACTTGTTCCAGGGATCTGGGGAAACATATATCTTGCAAAAGATAGAAAATTTATTTTCAGAGTAAGACTGGGTGAACCCATTGTCACTGCCATATACTGGAGTCTCAGAACAAGAGAACCAATGAAAAATAAAAAGATACTTAGACCGTTAACCACAAAGGAAAAAGCTATTTTAATTCTGTCGTTGCTACCTGGCTTTAGAGTGAAAGGTGCAATAAAACTACCCTGGAATTTCAAACTCTGGGAAATTCATGCTTTAATTATACAGCAAAGAGAGCACTGGGATATTATTATTCCCAAAATGATTGGCAGGAAGTCAGAGACAAACAAACTGGAGATCCTTCGGTAGGGGGAGATAGCGGCATTGGTTTTTTGGAGGAAGGCTGGAGAAAGGAAGAGACAAAGAAAGAGGAGAAATGTGTGAAGTGACTATTAATAGAGGAGGAATTGTGATGAGAAATTCAGAACATGAAAAGGAAAGGCAGAGATTAGATTATAAAAATGCCGTACCATGCAGAACATGCCTAAATGCCTGTTCCGTTACGTTCTTAACGCAGATTCTCCAAAAGATGGATTAGATATTTCGTAGATCTTTCGTGGTAATAGATCACTCTTCCAGGAGAAGTGAGGCCAGAGGTCTCTGCACTGCTGAACTATAATAGGAAGATCCTGGAAACCTAATTAGATGTTTATTGTCTGTGTGATTATCAGGAAAATGTTCATGGAAGAAAATGAAACTATCATTCGGAGCATTACATTATTGTTCCTGTGCTTCCTTCAAAGTTTCTGTGACATAAAGAAGTCTACCCCTTTTAGGTAGTCTAACATGTAACTAAAAGCTAATCATATGGCATGAGGTAAAAATTACATTTTATCACTGTATTTATGAGTTCATATTTGATATACGGTTTTTGCTATTACCATTTTCTTGGATTAAGATGCTTGCATTTACTCACATTCTATTTACTCAAAGTGTTGTTTTTAATAAGTTCTGGCATAAACTATCTCAGGACAGCAGTAATTTATGTGAAGCTAAGTCCAATGTTTATGCAAGCTTCTGATGACATTTTATACCGGGGTTGGTGTTAGGAAGCAGTACGTGGAGGTGCCAAGTCTCCCGGCATGGCTGAGACTCAACAGATCTGAAGCCCTCCTCTTAATGGCCAGATATGCCTCCAGCCAAGATACTCAACTGCAGAGTCATGGGAAATACTTATGTACCAATTATGGGAAAGGCACATTTAATGAAAACTGTATGTTTACTTTCATAGTCTTAGTAAGATGGCCTAGATACTCAGTACAGCTGGCATATTGGCTGTTGCAGAAAAGCTTTTTTTTTTTTCCTATTTAGAAAATATATCATCTACATACTGTAACTGTACCAAAAATGTTGCTTGAGTGCTTCGTTTCAGATAAAAGATTATTGGGAAAAAAAAAAACAAACCTTAGGAGACTAGCCCTAAATGTTGCTGACAAAATATTCGGACTTTGCTCAATGGTCATGTTCTTATCTATCAGCTCATGGTTGGTTTTAATTACCATTTACGTATTGATTTTCTATTTGTTTTTCTGTTTTGTTGTTGTTTTTTTTTAAAATTTCCCTGTTTAGCTCAAACCAGGACACTGTGCACAGAAAGTCTAGCAGTGATCTGAATAAACTATATTAATTAGTACATTTTCCTAGTAGATGAGGTTACATAAAATAGCCAGCTGTAGTAATATTCTCCCACAGATGAAAAACGTAGAGGGTGTCATTAACTGTTGGGAAGATTTCCTGTTTAGTTACACTATTTTTAAATTAATATCTATATTGAAATCAAAGGATTTATGCTGAAATTATTTTGCTGCAACTTAGATCAGATTTTGGTCATCTATCCCCTAGGCTACTCGCTGCTTATTCACCATTTCAGGACAGAGGTGTTTTATAAGATTTGGTCTAAAAAAATTCTCACACCATAATGCACATTTATCGATGTGACAAGGATTCACTTGTTCAAGAGTAAATTCCATTTTTTCAGCTTCTTTTGCTATTTGTAGTTAGCGAAATAAGACTGGGAATCAGAGGGTCTTTCTGCATTTCATCAGCTATCTTGCAGAGCTGGGACTGGAGCTTAATAAAGAAAGGAAAAAAATAAATGCGCCTGTTCTTGTAAACTTGTAAGACAATTATCACATTTAATCATTTTTTTTAAGCAAGCTCAGTTTTTTCTTCATTCCTCCTCTATTACTGATTCATTCTTAATTTTTGGTGAACTTCTCATCCCAACTATTTAGCTATGCAGACTTGTGTTTTGAAGCCAACAATATCTAGGCAAAGAGTGTCGCATTCTTGGTATCTAATGGAATACCCTAAATAGTAAAAACTCCCGTATATATGACTTGAGAATAAGAGAATAATTCTGAACTATGCAATAATAAGAGGCTACACAAAGATTTCTAATATTTCTTAACTTTCTACTTTTGCAAGGACTTGGAGGGAAAGTTTTTCACGAAATACCATATTCCTTGAGTTTGTTTTTCACGAAATACCATATTCCTTGAGTTTGTTTTTTACTGTGTAGTCTTTTACTTTGCCATCAACGCCTACCTTGGATGTACCTCTGGCTTTTCTGGGGCTCCCTGTTGACCTGGCTTCTTCAATCTGTATTCCATGTTTTTTCTCGACCCCAGAAACTGTGTGATAGGTAGCTCCAACCCTGAGCTGAGCGATGCAGCAAGGAAAGCCTGGGACAATCCTCCCAGTGTGCTATAACTCACATGCTGTGCGCTCCTGCCAAGGGTGGGGCCCATTGCAAGATTTTTGGTGTTTCTAGGCCAGAGATTATTTCCAGTCATTTCTTGAGTTGCCTATTTATTTTGTTATCCACGACCCTTTACAAGTTCTGGCTAGTTTTTTGCATATTTTATATTTAAAAAAAATAAATAAATATGTGAAAGGCATGAGCAGAACGCATTAAAAAAAAATAAAAATATCAGGCTGCATCGTACCTAAACAAAATGCCATCCAGTACTTCTCATAGTAAAATTTTATCATGTGAAAACAGCCTGATACTAAACTCCTTTCCAGAGATGATGATTTGTTTGTGTGTCTAATGACAGAGTAAATGAACACCCCAAGCAGTCGGTATCCTAAACCTATCGAGGGTATCCAGTGTAGTTTAGGCTTTGTAAAGAAATTCAGTACTAATGCTCCAGGGAAATGTAATTTAATCTTCATCTGTCTTTTGAAACGTCCTTCATTTTCTCCCACCATTCCCAAATCCAAGTTGGTGTCCTCAAATCAGCCCAAATGACTTGAAAAACGACACTGCGGGCAGCAAAGCTGCTGATTACAGGTACCGCTTCCATTCTAAGCTGGACATTGCAGACATTGTTTTCTGTTGCTTTTCTTGGAGCACAGGATGCTCTAACAGGAATGATACACAAAATTACATATTTGATTCAATGCCTAAAAGCCACCCTGGGATCCATAACCTTGCTTAAAGATTTAAGAAAGACCTTTAGTCCATTTCTGAGAAGGTTCTTAGCTTAGAAAACTTTATCTTTCAACTTTACTTCTTAGCAGCTGTTATGTTTTTTTGCTGTCGTTTGTTTGACAGGATCCAGTTATAGGTTCCGATGTCTGTTTAAAGAAACAGGGAGGTTGTTGGCTTTAAAATTCCCTTACTGCTTGTGTGTTCAACATTTTCCCAGGCTTTTCTACATAGTTTGCCAAGTAAAGGGACTGACCTTTTGTAGCAAACACTTTTTCATTTCTAAATGCTCACTTTGATTTTTGTCCCATTTTATGCTCATTCCAAACTGTTTACAACCCACTAAAAATGACTGTGAATTATATGTTTGTGTAATGTATTCCTTTTGTGGTCGGAGTGGAATGTTTACTTTGAACAATTAGTTATCTTTGGGCAGATTATAGTGACCTGAAAAAAGAATGGCTAAAAATTATTATAGTACCTTAACTATTTCCTTTTGTTATCTTCTCTGTTTGTCCAATGTATTATTTACTGGTTTTCCTTTCTCTGAGCCTCAGTGAACAAATCATGTTAAATAAGACAAAAAAAGTCCCTGAGTGTAGAGCTCTTGAGTTCGGGCAGCTGATCCGCTGGGGTAGGACCGGCTACAGCGGCGAAACTTCAGCAGAGACTCTTGGACACTCAGGTGTGCAAGTTTAAGAAGCCAGGGTTTTGGAAGAAGTTCTAGGGGCTTGCTCTCTGAAAATCAGATTTCTTAAAAGTGCCCAAAGCTTGACACCCCAAAGCATCCAAAATCAAAGCTTGGATTGGCTTTAATGCCTGTAGCTGCGATTTGATTATGTGT